TGAAGAGCTAAAACATATTAACATGCTTGATCTTTAGACTAATACCATGCTTCTTATTCATGAACCATATGGTACTGACCAGGACATCAGGACTCCTATAGACCACAAGACAGAAATTAGTAGTAAAGATGGTAAGCAGGTTCAAGGTTATCAGGTTTTTCATCCAGCTTCAGAAAATCAGATCCACAAAGCCAGGCAGAGTAGCTCACACCTTTAATTCGTGCACTTCAGAAGCAGGGGCATCATCTTGAATTTGTGGCCACTCTGGGGTATGCAGTTCTAGGGCTCCTTGAGCTACAGTGTGAAACCCTGCCTTAAAAATAAAATCCAGGCCAGTGAAATGACTCCATGAGTAAAGATATTTGCTGCAAACCTTACTGCCTAAGTCAATTCCTAGAACCAAAATGGTGGACATAAAAGAACTGACTCCTGCAAGTTGTTCTCTGATCTCCCCATGTGGTGCCCAGGAGTGTACCCACACATACATGTACACATACACACAGTAAATTCTTTCTAAAAATTTAAAGAAAATCCCAAAACAAATACATAAACAAATCATGTCTGTAAAGATTTATGGCTTAAGAGTACTCAGTGATAGCAGGCCATAGAGACCCATACCACAACTTTATCCCAGCACTCAGGAGGCAGAAGCAAGTGGATTTCTGTAAGTTCAGGGCCAACTAGTCTACAAAGCAACCACGAACAAACAAGGGTGGTCAGTACTGCTACATGCTCTTATTCCCAGCACCTAGGGGGCAGAGGCAGGTGGATCTCTGAGTGTGAGGCCAGCCAGGGCTACATAGTGAGACCCTGTCTCAGAGAGAGGGGGAGGGAGGGGAGAGAGAGAGAGAGAGAGAGAGAGAGAGAGAGACGGGGGGGGGTAAGGAAAATGTTAGTCACGATGTCAAGGTGTTCGGGTGTGTAGAGTGATGTGTGTGTGTGTTGTACAGTGCATTCACTGGCTGTGTTATTGCCGAAAGCCTGGTGGAATTGCAAGTAGCTGCCAGCAACACAGGTCAGGGTCAAGCTGCTGCAGAATTTGGAGATAAGCCAGAAAATGGGCTATTAAAAAACCTGTAAACTGGCCTTCACCGAGAGAAGATGTTTAGGGAGGCCAACAGAACACAGCCAAGGAGGCTAGGTTCCCCAGACGAGTTACTTCACAGGTGGGCTTTAAAGATTAGAGGGTGTGATGTGTAGAAAAGGCTTAGACAGTGCTTGTCTCATGTATGGTAGGCGCTCAGTAAATATTTTATCTTTACCGAGAGGTTATCAGCATTTAAAAATTGACTCATGTAGTGGCACTGAAGATGGATTCAGGGCCTCGTGAATAGCACGGTACACACACTACCATTGAGTCACGTGTCAGTCCCCATCATGTTTCTTCTCCTACCATTGAGTCACATGTGCAGTCCCCATCATGTTTCTCCTACCATTGATTCACGTGTGCAGTCCCCGTCATGTTTCGCCTACCATTGAGTCACGTGTCCCCATCATGTTTCTTCTCCTACCATTGAGTCACGTGTGCAGTCCCCGTCATGTTTCGCCTACCATTGAGTCACGTGTCAGTCCCCATCATATTTCTTCTCCTTGTTTTCTAGTCGTCGTCATCATCATTTGATAGAGGGTTTCGTATAGCCCAGACTGGCCTTAAACTCCTGATTCTTCTGTCCCCAGCTCCCAAGTGCTGGGATTACAGGTGTGTACCACCATGCCCAGTGTATGTAGTGCTAGGGTTGAGCCCAGGACTTTGTATAAGCTAGGCAAATGTTCTGCCAGCTGTACTATATACTCAACGTACAATTGGTATTTATTTTAAACATTATTTCATGGACTAGTAAGTTGGTTCATTGGGTAATAGCCCTGCCATTAAACTCTTAACAGCCCGAGTTCACGTCTTGGAACCACGTGGTGGAAAGACAAACTGACTTCTGCAAGTTGTCCTTTGATCTCTGCACATGCCATGGTGTACATGAAGGTCGGGGACAGACAGCTCTTAGGAGTTGGTTCTCTCTTTCTACTATGGATTTAGCTCATCAGATTTTCATAGCAAACACTTTTGTCCACTGAATCATCTCAGTGGACCTCAGCATTTTATTTCATAAGCCTGTTTTCCAGTATTGATTGGCTCTGTCTTCCTTGCTGTTGGCATTGTAATTAGAATTGATTACACTTTATAGTTTTGCCTGCTAGGCTAGACACTGGTATTGCTATTTTTTGTTTCTAAGGTAACTGATGCTTAGGACAGTCAATTTGCAAAAATAGTGTAATCTGGGGGACGCAGTAAGGATCCTACTAACATGATGGTTCCAAGATGGTGAAGTTTTTATTGTAGCTATGAGAGAACAACCAGAGGCATCTGGAAGAGTCCAGAGCAGAGAGCAAATAGTAGACTGCACATGGCCAGGGCTAGGGAAGCAGGAGAGGGCAGTGGAGATAGCACAGAGAGAATAAGAGAATGAGAGAGGGTGAGTGCAGGAATAGTCGAGAATTTACCAGGAGGGTGAGTGGCTGCAGGGAGGGAAGGTCAGGACACTGGCATGGGGACTTTGAAACATGTAACAGGTACTTGTGAGTAGGGACTGAAGAAGTCTGGAGGCTTTGACAAGCTGATGGGGCCACAGGTGTGTGTCAGTGGAGAGCCATTTGTCCCTTCTTCCAGAAGTAAGGGAAATGACTCCTTTTGCCAAATGAGAAAGTTTCACAAGATCCTGAGGAATGCTGGCTTTTTATTTAATTTTTAAAAATATTTTATAGAAGCCCTGTTAGCTAGCTTGAGTTCACTTCTGGATATGTGGACTGCCTTTTGGAGCTTGGAAAATTGGACAGATAGGTCCAGGTACAGATGTGAGACAGTTGTCTCCACACTAAGCTGTTAGTGAAAAAGCAAGCAGCTCCACAGCTGCTTTAGCTTCTCATTTTGTGCAGGATACAGAGAGGTGCTCATCAATGCGTGGGGTGATAAGAACCTAAACTGAATCTCAGAAGCAGAGGTCAGCCTGGTGTACACAGTGAGTTCCAGACCAGCCAGGGCTACGTAGTAAGACTTTATCTCAAACAAACACATTGAAAAAATACTGGAACTACTAAGAGCTAGATGTAGTCTTTCCTGCCTTTCATAAAGCTCTGTGGAGAGAATAAATAGTGCCTAAGGGTCGGTCATCTAAAGTTGCTCACATGGCCAGTGGTTGTGCCCAGCACAAACCCAGATGGCAAGCACTCTCCCTCCTCAGCTCTCTCTCGATGCTTCAGTCTGGGTGTAGCTGCAGCAGAAGAACCTTGCCTCTGCCGTGCTCTGGCATAGGAAGGTCCTCTGATGAGTTATAGGGCAGTAGCCTTTCATACCTCGATAGTGAGGCAGACAGCTAGGCTCTGGTGCTGGATTTTCTCTTTCACAGAGAACACACATAGAAAGGACATCTAGAAAGAACATAACTCTTCCTTTCCCACTGTCCTTTCTGTGGGCTCTGGGCTGGCTAGGTTATGTCAGTGTGACACAGCTGGAGTCATTTGGAAGGTGGCACTTCAACTGACAAAACACTCCACTGGATTGGCAGTGGACAAGCCCATGGGGCATTTTCTTGATTGGTGACTGATATGGGATGGTGGATGGTGTCACCCCTGGGCTGGTGATCCTGGATGCTGGACAAGCCAGTAAGCAGCATGTCTCCTTGGTGTCTGCATCAATTCCTGCCTCCAGGTTCCTGCCTGAGTTTCTGCCCCGACTTCCTTCGTAATGGCAGGGGTGGGGGGGGTGTTTCAAGACAGGGTTTCTTTGTGTAGCCCTGGTTGTCCTGGAACTCACTCTACAACCAGGCTGGCCTCAAACTCACAAAGATCTGCCTGCCTGTGCCTCCCGAGTGCTGGGAATAGAAGCGTGCGCCACTACCGCCCTGCTGGTCATGTTGTTTTATGGCAGCAATAAATACCTAAGACAGACGAATTTATTCTTTCTTGGTCACCTTCTCTGTTAATGTTGTTGTCCAAAGTTTTAAATTAACTAGCATATCCTCCACTCTGTTTTTTACTGATTACTGCAGGCCTCAAATTAGAGACTTAAAACGACAGTCATTTGCCTCTCAGTTTCTGTAGTTTAGGAATTTGGAGATGGGCTCACTTAAGTAGGTGCAGTCGGGGGAGTGATATAGTTCAGTAGTAGAGTGTGCTGGCCTTGCATGCAGAAGGCCCTCAGCACTGGGCAAAAGAATGTTTTTCAAATGTTACCTGGAGTTACAATTATCTGAAGGCTTGTGTTGGAGTGGAAGCATTCCTTTGCCAGGAGGCTCACTTCCAAGGCCGTGTGGACATTGACAGGAGGCCTCTTCTCCTCTCTTAGTGGACCTCTCCCTGAACTGCTTGTCATAACATGGTGATTGTCTTCTCTCAGAGCAACCCAAGCCAGAGGCAGCCTGACAGAAGCTAGTCCTTTAATGGCCTACATTAGAAGTTACTTAGCATCACTTACCCCTTGCATAGAAGTCAAGAAGTGTACCATATGTTAAAAGGCAAGGGAGTCGAGCTACACCTTTTGAAAGGATGAGGTAGTGGCAATGCTTAGGACCGGCTTTGCTCATTCATTCTTCTATCTAGGAAATATGTATTTGATGCATGTGAGATGTGCCGGGCAGTAAGGGAGCCTTTCTCCACAGCTTAGGTGTGGATGGAGTTCTAGCTGTAGTGTGGGCATTGTTTCAGAGCTGCTTGAACTTTCACACATGGCATCCCTGAATGGTCTCCAGGGCTGATTAGATCCCCGTCTTGGCTGCTCTAGGTCTTAGCCAGTGAGGTCTCTTCTTAACGTGGTAGAATTTGACTTTGAGCCAGTGATTCTGCTATGAATCCTCCCATTTTCTCCTTTTGGGATGGTTTCTGTGGATGCTGAGTCACCCATGCCTCAGTGAGGGAACCACGTTTACAGTGACAGAACAGCTCATGACACTTGATTCCTTTTTTCACCACGTGGGCCTGTCTTTCAGATGTAGACACTTAATAACCCATTGATGGCCCTGTTTTCTTCTGTTTTGCAGAAGGCGCTGGGTGTGCGGCAGTACCATGTGGCCTCTGTCCTATGCCAACGGGCCAAGGTGGCCATGAGCCACTTTGAGCCCAATGAGTACATCCGCTATGACCTGCTAGAGAAGAACATTAACATTGTCCGCAAACGGTAAGGCTGTGGGGAGCTCGAGGTGCTGGCTGAGGGCAGCTTCCCTTTTCAGAGGCTGATGGCAGGGTCTAGTGTTCAGGAAACAAAGGTCCCTGCACAGGAAAATCTTTGCACTGGAACTTCTAGCCCTTTTCCATAAATGGCCTAGAAGGCCAGGGACAATGGTGCATGCCTGCAGCCCTGCACTTGAGAGGTGGAGGCAGAAGCACCAGACTAGAGAAGTACTTCTAAGGTTCTGAGTTTGTCAAGTGGTGAGGCCTACACTCAGTCTAGCTCTGTCTGACGTTAATGGCCCCAGCATTACTTCTAATATTATTCCTAAAATTACATTTTATTTACTGTGTGTATGCATTTGTGCACATGCTGGGCATGGTGGTGCATGCCTTTAGCGCTAGTACTCGGGAGGCAGCCAGGGCTACACAGAGAAACCTTCTTTCTAAAAACAAAACCAAAAACCAGGGTCCTAGGGACTGATGACATCAAAATGTGGGCAATACTGGCCAGACTCCCAGATATTTCTAAAGTGCAACGAGAGTAGAGAACCACTGTCCCCACCAATGCAGCAGTACAGGACCTTGTACAAATGCTTTTCTCCAGGAAACAATATTTGATTTGTTCTTGAGACTGACTATCTGACCACTGCCCAGTGGGAAGATAATGGGTTTTCCTTTCATCTTGGAGACTTGCACTCTGCTCTTCATCATGCGTGGAAGGAGAACTGGCACAGAAGTGGACTTCATGGTGACTTGACCAGAAAGTCTTGCCATTTAGAGGTTTGGTTTGGCTTTGTTTTCGAGACAGGGTTTCTCTGTATTGTTTGGAGGCTGTCCTGTAACTCGCTCTGTAGACCAGGCTGGCCTCGAACTCATAGAGATCCACCTGCCTCTGCCTCCCGAGTGCTGGGTTTAAAGATGTGAGCCACCAAAAGCCCAGCCTAGAGTTTATTTGTATTCTTTTTTTTTTTTTTTTAAGATTTATTTGTTATGAATACAGTGTTCTGCCTGCAGGTATCCATGCAGGCCAGAAGAGGGCACCAGATGTCATTATAGATGTATGTGAGCCACCATGTGGTTGCTGGGAATTGAACTCAGGACTTTTGGAAGAGCAGCCAGTCTCTTAACCTCTGAGCTATCTCTCCAGCCCCTAGGGTTTGCTATGTAGTGGGTAGGGACTGATAACACCATTAACTATCCCACAATGCACAGAACAGCCCCATAGTAGAGTCACCTGGCCCCAAGTATGCAGAGTGCTAGGGTTGAAAAACCGTGACACAGAGAAAAAGTAGAGATGAGGCTATTCTGAAAATAGTTTTATTCTAAAGAATTTTTTTATTTTACTGAGAATTTCAAACATGCATGTTATATTTTGATCAAGCATGAATGTACAGTGTCTGTGATTGTATCCATAAAACCTGAACAAGATCAAGCTAGTCTAAAGAACTTAAAGAAGGCTAGAACATTTCCAGGGGACTCATTGACACTAGGTTCAGATTCTGTTTTCAAGAACTAGGTCTCTGCCACCCAGAACAACAAAGGGACAGATAAACATAGATGACCCAGTTAGCCCTCAATCACAAGGGGATGTAATGATGAACTGTCCAAAGTTTTCTCGTTTGTCAGGCTTTAAGTCTTTTTATTACACCATATTTAGTGTGTGTGTATTCATCGTGGTCACACTGAGGTCATCCGGCTTCCAGGCAAGTACCTATACCTGCTGAACCCTAACTCACCAGCCTAGTGTCAGGCATTTGCTGAACCCTAACTCACCAGCCTAGTGTCAGGCATTTGCTTTCAAGGTCTTGGTGTGATTTTTCAGTTCTCTTGGGCCCAGAAAGAGAAGCTACGCTCCACACAGTGAGTCATTGCCAACTGCCAGCCTGGGATATGCTGCTGCAAACCGATGGCCAGCCCCTGTACCTCAGACCTAGAGAAGAGCTAGAGTTCAAGGCGTAGAGGACTGTGAGGTTAAGAGCTGGGGCCCGGCAGGCAGCAGACAAGGAAGGGTTAATAAGTTTGTTTGAAAACAAGAGAACTGTGTCAGGCATGCTGGCATGCATCTGCAAATTCCAGCAACATGTAATTCTAACACTCAAGAAGTACAGACAATAGGTGTTTATATATAATAGACTAGTGTAGTACAAAAGCAAATTTTTTTTTGTTTTGTTTTGTTTTTTGAGACAGAGTTTCTCTGTGTAACAGCCCTAGCTATCCTGGAACTTGCTCTGTAGACCAGATTGGCCTTAAACTCACAGAGATCCACTTGCCTCTGCCTCCCGAGTGCTGGGATTAAAGCCATGTGCCACCAAGGCCCAGCTGAAAAGCAAATATCATTTAAAAAAACTAGTCCTGTTATTTTATATGATGCTTGTTTATTTTGATTATTTTGTTTTAATTTTTTTTTAAAGCAGGACTTCATGTAACTCAAGCTGATCTTTAGCATGCCTTTAAGCGTATCCAAGAATGATATTGATATGATCCCTGAACCCCACCTCCCAAGTGCATCACACCCGTCCTGTCTTCTGTGATGCTGACATTCACTTGTTCTTGAAGTAAATTCCAAATCCCCACAGTAAATGACAGGTACTTCCCTCTGTCCTGGAGATGCCACAGGGAACAGCACTGATTTGTTCCTGCCCAAGTAGATCTTGGGAACCTGCATGCAGATTGTCCTATGTCTGCTTACTGCCATAAGCATGGAGAGGGAGGAGCTGCTACCAGGGTAACCTCCTTCTGCCCACAGGTTGAACCGGCCTCTGACTCTCTCAGAGAAGATTGTTTATGGACATCTGGATGACCCAGCCAACCAGGAGATCGAGCGGGGGAAGACATACTTACGTCTACGGCCTGACCGGGTGGCCATGCAGGATGCAACAGCCCAGATGGCTATGCTACAGTTCATTAGCAGTGGGCTGCCCAAGGTGGCCGTGCCATCAACTATCCACTGTGACCATCTGATTGAGGCCCAGCTAGGGGGTGAGAAAGACCTGCGCAGGGCCAAGGTGAGCCCAGCTGGTAATGGGGGCTGGTGGCTGGCTGTGGGGAAAGGGAGGTAGACTCCATGTTGCAGTCTGCTGGGATACTTCTGAGTTTTTTGGATGTTTTTGTTTTTTATATTTTATGTGCATTGGTGTTTTTGTTGTGGTTATCCCGAGACTGTAATTACAGTGAGCTACCATGTGGGTGCTAGGAATTGAACCCAGGTCCTCTGAAAGAGCAGTCAGTGCTCTTAACCACTATGCCATCTCTCCAGCCCCACTGCCGAGTTCTAATGACCTGCTTAACTCAGTCTTTTTTCATGACACTGAGGATATGAGAATGGAACTCAGAGCCTCATGTATAGTAGGCAAATACTCTACCGCTGAGCCATTCCCTGGCCCTGTTTGTTTTTATTTTTCAAGAGAGAATCTTTCTCTCTGCATAGCCTGGCTGATCTAGAACTCACTTTGTAGACCAGGCTGGCTTTGAACTTAGAGATCCTCCTGCTTCTGTCTCCCAAGTGTTGGGATTAAGGATGTGTGCCATCACTGTCCAGCTTGGTTTGACATATTTTAAGGCTTTTTAAAAATTCTTCCTAATATTAGAAATGAAATCTGGCATTGTGAAGATGTTAGAAAATAAATTGTCCTTGATCTTATTACAGAAAGCAGTCTCTCTTGTTAGAAAGTGCTGCTGCTGGGCTGGGGAGATAGCTGCAGGCTTAAGAAAGCACACAGTGTTCTTCAGAGGACCCACATCAGGCCGCTCATGACCACCTGGAACTCCAGCTCCTGGAGTATCTGTTACCTCTGGCCTCTGTTGGCACCTACATTAAAGCATACACACACTTCCATAATAATAAGGAAATAATAAGCAGGACAGTGGTGGTGCACACCTGTAATCCCAGAACTCGGGAGGCAGAGGCAGGTGGATCTATGAGTTCCAGAACAGCCTGGTCTGCAGAGTGGTTTCAGGACAGCTAGGGCTACACAGAGAAACCGTTTCAGGAAAAGAAAAAGGAAGCGCTGCAGGACTAGGTGTGCTGGTACATGAAACTGGTGTCTGGAGTCAGTTCTTCCCATCCCAGCAGCCCACTTCCGTATTTTTACCCATGTCACATGTGCCCTCTCCTCTGCTCTCCTGACCTGTGGGGATCAGCCCGGGGAAAGGATGGAGGGCCCTGTGTGTAGCAGCACTGTGAATTGAACCTCATAGCTGCGGGAGCGGCAGACTGACCTCGTTCTCACTCTAGAGATCTCATGCTAACAGTCTTCTTCCAGGCCCTTTCTTCTTTTGATGACCGTGTGTCACTGAAACTGCCGCTTGGAGCTGAATTCCTTGCCTTATTGTAAAATGTAACCCATGCTCCTTCTCCCAAGCCTCCAAGCTTATGGTTCATCTGGCCCTGTCCCTCCCAACACTGGGTCCGCCTACTCCCTGCCCCTGGCAGTGGGAGTGGGTACTCTGTGAGGGGCACTGGCGAGAGATGAGTGCTGGCAGGCCTGAGGCCCAGCTGGCACAGAGCAGAGGCATGTGATTCCAGTGCTCCAGCTACTAGGGAACCCTGAGGGGCAGCCAGCCTCCCCACTCTTGCCTTTCTCACCACCCGGGGTGTCCTAGGGCACAGTGGCTCTTTCCACTAAACTCAAAGCAAGTTCTGTCTACTGTCAGCAGCTATTAGCTGCTGAGGGGTGATCATGTTACATGTCTTTGCAGGGCCAGGAGCTGCAGACAGAGACCAGGGACCCTGGAACAAATATTTGTGGTAGAGACGTGGTTCACAGAACCATAGGTTTCAGATCTTGTCCCTTCTTGTAGTTTATTTCCTGAGCATTCGTTACATGTTAAGTGCAGTAGCAGGAACTGCTAAGTGGGAACTAGATTAGCAGGCCTGTCCCTCACAGGTCTGAGAGAACAGTTACATCAACCAGGTGGTTGCAGTGGGAAGGGGAAGTGCAGCCTCTGTCGTAGGAATGAGGTCAGACTGAGTTGTGGGAAAGGGATGGGAGCAGCTCCTTTGGGGATGGGACTGTGGACTGACACCTACATAGATTACTGGAGGAAGAAATCAAAGACAGATTGGCAAAGGCCAGGCATGGTGGAGCATGCCTGTAATTCTAGCACTTGGGAGGTGGATGTGGGGGTCAGGAGTTCAAGACCATCCCCAGCTACACAGTAAGTTTGAGGCCAGCTTGGGCTTCGTGAACCCTTGACCCTGTCTCACACCGCCCTCCCACCTAAATAAATAAATAGATAAACACAAGTGAGTGAGTACAAAGGGGCCTAAGACGTGAAGAAACAGGAAATTTAGAGCATGAAGGGGGGAAGACAGTGGGATGAGGCAGGCAGGGCCTTGAGGACTGTGGAAAAGGTTGTTTCTACCATCCTGGAGTCTGTTTGCTGCTGCCCTAACAGGCCACTACAGATAAGGGAAATTGTGTACTATAGAAGAGGTAGAAGGATGGAAAGTCTGGGGCATCTGGTAGGAACCTTTGTGCTGTGGTGAGGTGGAAGTATAGGCAAATGTGGTTGATCAGGGGAAAATCAGACAGGACTTACTTAGCCTTTTAGCAGGAATGCACTCCACAATAATAGCATTAACACATTCTTGAGGCAAAGACTCCTAAAGGTCCTACTTAACACTGAGTATTGGAGAGACATGCAGATTTAGAAGGCAGGGGCCGGGGGATGTGGTCAGTTCTGCATGTATTTATAGTCTTTGGCCCAAGACAGAGGGTGATCTGTTTAGAGTTACACAGTCAGAGCAGTGATGCTGTTTCAGCATTGCTTTTGGGACACCCTCACACAAACATACAAATGCCCTGGGTCCCAATTTCGCAAGTGACTGGTTTGTGATAGACACAGCCAATATGTTGATTATTAACTAGAAAGGGATAGCTCATCTGGGCAGTGGTGGCACACGCCTTTAGTCCCAGCACTTGGAAGTCCAGAAGAGGAAGAGGAGGAGGAGGAAGGCAGAGAAAGGGATAGCTCTGGTAACACAACTTGTCTGCCATTCTTTTATTTGGGGATCAAGTGGACTCTCAGAAGGACACACTGACTGGCAGGAGTTTAAATCAAGTTGTTTCAGGGTGTTTCTCAAGGGTGGGGCCTGTCCCTCCTTTTCAACACTAGAGTCTACTGTGGCACTGTTCCTTTTGACCCTGGTCAGTCTCTCTTGTCTGTGGACATGCCTCATCAGATAAAGTTTGCCCTCACAGCTGTGCTGTGGAGCTTCCCTGCCTCCAGGACACTGCCTTCAAATGACAGGTTAAGGGAACAGTGGGTCCCATCCTTTCGTCTGGGGCCTCTCAAACCTATTACTGAGTACTGAGCGCCTTTTATGTGCTGGCACCGGCTCAGTGCTCACAGGAGGACAGGTACACCCTTCAGAGGCAGCAGCCTTGGGTTCTCAGGGTCCTCCAGGTCTCACCTGAGCCTCTGGTTTTCCATCTCTAAGTGGATTTGACAACAGTCTTGTTCCTAAGTGGGTTGCGGGGCTGCTTAGCTTGATGTTACTTGTATTTGGTAAGAGTTCACTGAGATTCCAGACAGGTACCCACAGCTCAGTGACGCAAAGCCAGGCATGCACGTGGTCCTTTCTCTTGGTAGTCCCCCTCACTCTCTCCACCCTCATAACTGATGCCATACATGACACACCCCTTCTCTGTTGGCCCTGGCCCAGACTCAGGTTTCAGAGGAGCCTTTGTCAGCTATGCCACAGCTTCTACGAGGCAACTGAGGCACAGAGCAGGGCAGGTGTCATGGGAGTGGAGCCGCCTGTCCGTGGGCCTGCCAGCTGAAACTGCAGGCCAGCAGCCAAGCCCTCTGCAATTATCTTTAGAAGCCCTACAAGAGAAGACTTGTACTCGGGTTGCCAGCATGTCAGCCCCATGGGTGAGGGAGTGTGGAGTGTGAGGTCATCCCAGATCAAACTAATGCTCTGGTTATTGATTTGTTTTAATAGGACATAAACCAGGAAGTGTATAATTTCTTGGCAACTGCAGGTGCCAAGTATGGCGTGGGCTTCTGGAGGCCTGGATCTGGAATCATCCACCAGGTAATACACGGCTTAGCCTGTCTTTGCAAGGCCCCAGTCTAGGTTTCACTCTACTAGACAGCCCGTTCCAGGCCTGCTGGGACTTGAGTCTTAGGAGAGCCGAGCAGGAGTGCTGGTGGCCCTGCAGCTATAGGTATGTAGCTGCAGTTTCCAGGAACATTAAGTGCTTCAGGGCATGCTTGGAGGAGGGCTAGAGGTTAGATATGTTGGTTCACACCTGTAGTTCAAGTGCAGTTCTTTATATGGTGTTGGGGAATCCCAAATGGACTTCTGAGCTTCATTCACTTATACAAGTGTTAAGTCCAGTTGTGTAGGTAGCTTATCCAGGGGATGTGAAGCCCTTTCTTGATTTCCATAGGCACGAGGTGTTCACATGGTGTGTAGATATACATGCAAACAAAATGTTCATATATATAAATAAATAAATCTAAAAGAATTTTTAAAAATAATTACAATTATTTGTGGTTCTGGGGTATTGAATCCAAGGTCCTATAAATGCAAGGCAAGTACTATATCAATTGAGCTGTTTCCAACAAAGAAAAATTGGTGTGTGTATGTTTCAGAGAGATACTGCTTTCTTTCCATCAAGAGGGCTGCTGAGGGCTAGCCTGGTGTATGTTCATTAAGTTCCCATCCCCTGCATTTCCAAGGTGACTCTTCTCTTTACCTCCATCCCAGGCCTTGCTGCCTGCTCCTTGCAGAGGAGTTGAGTCAGGCTGTCATCTGACTCTGCTCAGGCCCCTGGCTCTGCCTAACTTTAAGACCAGAGCCAAGAATCGATTACTGCACTGCCCTTTAGGACAGGGCTGCCAGGGTGACGGGGCTGCCGTGTTACACCGCCTGCAAGGCCAGAGTGTCTCTCTGCAATAGGGCATGAAGGCATATGGACTCACTCTCATTGGCCTTTTGTTATAGAGTGCACCCCAATCCAGGTATCCGTCATTCCATTTTAGCTCAAAGGCCTAGGCAGCTCTTAAACCAAAGTTTGGGGCTGTGAGTGGTAGCTACTCACATCTGCCCTTGGCCTCCTGCTAAGCATTCAGCATGATTCTTTTTTTTTCTTTTCTTTTTTTTAAAGTAGTTTTTTTTTATCTGAAAGTTTTTTTTAAAGATTTATTTATTTATTATGAATGCAACACCCTGTCTGCAGGCCAGGAGAGGGCACCAGATCTCATTACGGATGGTTGTGAGCCACCATGTGGTTCCTGGGAATTGAGCTCAGGACCTCTGGAAGAGCAGTTGGTGCTCTTAACCGCTGAGCCATCTCTCCAGCCCCCTCTTTTTTTTTTTTTTTAAGATTTATGTATTTGTTATGTATACAGTGTTCTGTCTGCATGTATGCCTTCAGGCCAGAAGAGGGCACCATATCTCATTACAGATGGATATGAGCCATCATGTGATTACTGGGAATTGAACTCGGGACCTCTGGAACACCAGCTAGTGTTCTTAACATCTGAACCATCTCTCCAGTCCCTCAGCATAATTCTTAAAACATACCATTTCCGGGGCTGGAGAGATGGCTCAGAGGTTAAGAGCACTGACTGCTCTTCCAGAGGTCATGAGTTCGATTCCCAGCAACCACATGGTGGCTCACAACCATCTGTAATGAGATCTGGTGCCCTCTGCTGGTGTGTAGACGTACATGGGGGCAGGGTGTTGTGTTCGTAATAAATAAATAAATCTTTAAAAAAAAAAACATACCATTTCCAGGAACTATGTTTTAGTCATGTTCTGTTGCTGTGAAGAGACACCATGACCAAGGCAACTATGATAAGAGAAAACATTTAGCTGGGGTCTTGTTTATAGTCTCAGAGGTTTAGTCCATTGTCACCATGACGAGGAGCATGGCAGCATTCAGGCAGATGCTGGAGCAGTAGTTGAGAACGACATCCTGATCCGTAGGCAGAGATGGAGGCTCTGGGCTTGGCATGGATTTTCAAAATCTCAGAGCCCACACCCAGTGACACACTTCTCCAAGAAGACCACACCTCCAAATCCTTTCAATCTTTTCAAATAAGGCCACTCCCTGGTGACTAGCATTTGAATATATGAGCCTGTGGGGGCCATTCTTATTTACGTGTGTGCCGTGTGGGTTTGCTTTTCTGCCCCTCATTGTCAAGCTGCCGTTGTCAGCTTTCATTCAAGCAGAGCCCCAGCCTTGTCCCCAATGACCTGGCAGACCCTGCTTTGGCTTTGTAAAGGCCTCGGCACCTTAGCTTCCTAACTCACCTGTTCACCTCCCCCTCCTGCCCGACCCTGCTGAATTCAGGCTCTGGATGAGCCTCTGTGGGCCCCTTTGAATTATGTCCCCAGCATGTGCCCAGTGCTTTCTTCACTGTGTCCTGTGCTCTGAGGATGGGACCAGGGGAGTATAGATTTGGTCCTTGGTGTTTGTATGTGTTATGTACATCTCTGGTTGAATTTCTAATGTCATGTTCTAGATGTTAGTCTGGCCTAAAACACACTTCTCTGCTGGGTGTGATGGCGCATGCCTGTAATTCTATTCCACCCTAGGGAGCTGAGGGAAGAGGACCCCAAGTTCAGAACCAGCTGAGCTATACAGCAGGACCTGCCTGAGCTGTATAGAGGATCCTGTCTCATAGCAAATAGACATAAAAATACACTTCATGACCCTCGCTCCATTTTTTTCAATATTCATAGATAGGTGAATCTGTCACAGCTGATTCTTGTGATGCTAGATATTGCCTACACTAGACAATTTACCACCAGAGACTGAAGGTGCCATAGTCCATTGGTCTGCAGTAACCTCTCCTCCTGGATGTTAACTACATGTGTGGCTACACTACGCTCACCACCATGAAGTCTGTGTATCTCACCTTCATGAATCTAACTTTTCCAACCTTGTGGAGCTTTAGGGATTGCTACTCTCAAATCTTTGCATATGGCTGAGACAGGGAAGGGCAGGGAAACAAATACTGGCCTGCTCCTCCCATATAGATGGAAAAGGTGTCAGCCCTTCCAGCCCTTTTCGTTTCGAAGGGATGACAGTCCTTCATGCCATGCTAAAGTACATCATGGACACCTCACCCCATGGGGAGACCTGGGTTTCTGTGATGTCCCAGGGACTCTGCCCACCTTCGGTGCCTATAGTTCCTAGAGCCTCTCACATCTGGTCACCTTTGTCCTTCCTGGTGTCCATGAATGGGCTCATTTCACCAGGCAGACGAGCAGAAACCCAGGTGAAGGCTCTTGCTGCAAAGTAATCAAAGGCTGCCTCTCCCAGCTGCATGACATGATCTCATTCAGTCATCACGGGGAGAGTCTGTCGGGAGCTTTCTTCAGCACACTAGTCTAGGCCTGCCAGTCTGTGTGGTTCTTCCCTGACCTGTGTGTTTTTATTACTGTAAATGAGGAGACTGAGGCACAGGGAGGCATTTACAGGCCCAAGTCACACAGAGCTGTTCATGAGCCCAGGTCACCTGGCCATATAGGAGCAGCTTAAATTAAGTGAGACTGCCCCCTACCTGGGCATGGTTGGGTGGTCTGGTGTCACTGGGGGCAGCTCTATAGATCCTTTTTGTGTCCCATTTCCATTCGGTGCTAAAGGCTTTTAACCTTAATGTCTTTGATTACTTTTCAGATCATTCTAGAAAACTATGCATACCCTGGAGTTCTTCTGATTGGCACTGACTCCCACACCCCCAATGGTGGTGGCCTAGGAGGCATCTGCATTGGAGTAGGGGGTGCTGATGCTGTGGATGTCATGGCTGGGATCCCCTGGGAGCTGAAGTGTCCCAAGGTGAGGGCTAAGGAAAGACTTGCTCTGGTCTGGCCAGAAGAGACGCTGGTGGGGGAGTGTGGGTCCCAAATGGCTGGGCCAGGCTGGATTCTCTTTTGTGGTGAGTAGGGCTGATGAAGAAAAGTGGGAATGTGAGCTCCCGTCCTTGATTCCTCACTGGAACACGATTATGTGGTGCATTGGGCCTGTAACTGCCTTGCCCACTGTTTCAGGTCATCGGCGTGAAGCTGACAGGCTCCCTCTCTGGTTGGACCTCCCCCAAAGATGTGATCCTGAAAGTGGCAGGGATCCTGACGGTGAAAGGTGGCACAGGTGCCATTGTGGAATACCATGGGCCTGGTGTCGACTCCATCTCCTGCACTGGTGAGGATGACAGTCCCACACAGTGTCCCTAACTCTAGCCTTCCCTTGAGGCCGTCCAGGCAGTGTGTGGGCTGAGAACAGTGTGGGTGGAGACAGCCTGCTGCTCCGATGGAACAACTCACAACCACTGTAAGGGGACGGTGACTTCCTTGTGGCTACTCAAGAGTTAGGAGCCACACCGGTTTTAGCTTCTACTGCTGGGGCCTGCCCAAGAATTGTACGGAACTATCTTGGGTGACCGATAAAAATTCCAGAGACCCTGGAGTAGCCTGCAGAATTATTATACCCTATAGGTAACAAGTGTTCACTCTTGCTGCTCTAACACAGCCCAGCTGTGAAGTTGCTAACAGGCCCTGATAGAAGCCAAGATATCTCTGAGCCACACCATGGCTACAGATGCTCTGGTCCAAATAGTGGTGCCATTCCATTCCAATTCCATTCTCTCCCCCCCCCCATGGAATCTCACTTTCTTGCTCAAGCTGGCCTTAAACTCCTTGAGCTCAATGTTGTGTGTCTCCCAAACAGCTAGGTGGTGGAGAATATTATTTTAAGGTGTGTGACTTTTGTTTATGCTGCGTTTGTTTAACTCTGTGAGGCTGTGTTACTGTGCCTGTCTAAAACACCTGGTGGACCTAATAAAGAGCTGAATGGCCAATGGTGAGGCAGGAGCCAGGATAGGACGGGCTGGCAGGCAGAGAGGATAAATGGGAGACATGAGGAAGGAGGACGTCAGGGGCCAGCCACTCAGCCAGCCATGGAGTAAGAGGGAAAGTAAGATATACAGAAATAGGAAAGATAAAAGCCCAGAGGCAAAAGGTAGTCGGGATAACTTAAGAAAAGCTGATAAGAAACAAACCAAGCTCCGGGCGTTGGTGGCGCACGCCTTTAATCCTAGCACTCGGGAGGCAGAGGCAGGCCAATCTCTGTAAGTTCGAGACCAGCCTGGACTACCAAGCGAGTTCCAGGACAGCCTCCAAAGCCACAGAGAAACCCTGTCTCGAAAAATCAAAAAAAAAAAGAAAAATGTTACCTGTCCAGACAGATAAGAAAAAAAGAAAGAAAGAAAAAAGAAACAAACCAAGCTAAGGCCAGGCACTCATAACTAAGAATGGCCCTCCTTGTGTGACATACTAGTGGCCCCTCAAAAAGCCAAAAGAGCAAGAACATGTACTATAGCTAGTGCTGCTGGTGCATGCTCTGTTTATTCCATTCTTATCGCTCATACTCAGAAAAATACCTATGTAGCACCATGGTGCAGCTGAAAGAGGGCAGAACACCAGACAGACAGACCTAGGCTTCAGTCAGGCATTAATTTGTTTATGATGATCTTGAACCACTCTAAGCAAGGTAGACACAGTAATTTCTAGGCAATGGCTGGGCATATCCAGCTTCAGTACACAATGGCCATGTGCTCTGCTGAACAGAAAAGCCAGACTCTGAGTTAGAATTGTACTTGTGAGGCTGAAGGCTTTGAGAGTGAGTACCTGTGGCCACTAGGTGGCCTTGTAGGTCAGGAAGAGATGCAGCTCCTTACCTGAAGAGCTTTGTGACTGGCCCTGCCCTTGCAGACACTGGGGCCCACTCCCAGCTGCCCAGCAGCCTCATGCCTTGGGCTCTGTTTCTCCACAGGCATGGCAACCATCTGCAACATGGGTGCAGAAATTGGGGCTACCACATCCGTGTTCCCATACAACCACAGGATGAAGAAGTACCTGAGCAAGACAGGCCGAGCAGGTGAGTTCATAGGGCTGAGTGGTGTGAACGTGCAGTCCTGTGGTACTCCTATCCTGAGGACTTGAGTCCTTAGCCTGATGTCACTAGGCTGACTCCATGTAGATGCACAAAATCCCACAGATTGATGACAAGCTAGGTGTGTGTGTGACTGCTTCTGATTATGGTGTCTGTACTTCTCTTCAGCTTCTGGAAGGGCCTGGCACCCAAATTAAATATCCCTGCCACAGGTTATCCATGTATGTGAGTTTCACAGGGAAAGGGCTGAATTCTGGTCCTTTCTGGCCTAGGCCCCCAGTGTCCCCTACAGGAAGTGCTGGAAGTGACACTGGTCTCTTCTGTATAACTGTTCCTGACTGGCAAGGCTTCCCAGCTTCCCCCAGCAGCTTTGCTGGGCTAGTTCCATTTCTGTGAAGCTCAAAGAAGGAAATGAAGGGCTGGAACCTGGGAAGGGAGGGGAGTGTGGATGAATCGGTAGAAGCAGCAGGTTAGGGTCCTGGGAAGCTGGGAGCCCTGAGTCCTACCTGGAATACCCATTACTCCTTTCTCCACCTAGTGACTTGTTAAAAAGGCTGAACGGGAGGACTCAGCGGTTAAGAACACTGGCTACTCTTCTAAAAGACCTGGTTTAAGTCCTCACAACTGTTTGTAACTCCTTTTCAGAGGACCCAAAATATCCCATGGCAAAACATTAACACACATTTTTTAAAAAATTCTGCTTATCACAGGTGGGTAGTGGCACATGCCTTTAATTCCAACACTCAGGAGGCAGAGGCAGGTGGATCTCTGAGTTTGAGGCCAGGCTGATCTACATAGAGAGTTCCAGGACAGCCAGGGCTACACAGAGAAGCCCTATCCCAGAGGGGGGAAAAAAAAGTCTGTTCCTTACTTCCTGTGTGGTGGAGTATGCTTGTAACTCTAGTACTCCATTTTCCATATCCTGCCTCACGATGTCTCCACATTGTTGGTTCACTGACAGCCTCTGCAAGAGGCTGACTTCCTGGTGGGCGGGGACTGCATCCTGTGGATTTGTCTCTATTGGCGTAGTTACTGCCTGGAGCCTGCTGTTTGGTATCTGGGTCAGATGTAAAATAAAGCCTCAAAACCAATTTCCTCCCTTGTTGATTCCAGACATTGCTAATCTAGCTGAAGAATTCAAGGATCACCTAGTGCCTGACCCTGGCTGCCAGTATGACCAAGTGATTGAAATTAACCTCAGTGAGGTGAGGAAGGGACTAGGGCTTGGGGGTGGGACTTTTAATTTTTTGGCACTGGGGGATAAGGGTGGGTCCTACTAGAATTATACCTTAGTTCCTAGGGTATAAGCCAAGCAGGAATGGGGGATAGACAGACAGGAGCAGATGGCATATAGCTATAGAGAGAGCAAGTCTGACCTAAGTGCCCATTTGCCAACCTCCAATTTAGTGGAGGCCAGGAATTTGCCCTGGGAGCTCATGTTGCTTTGAGTCCATGAGGCACACGCAGTGGGTTGCATCCTGAGCCCTACAGAAAGGCCTCTAGAGCAACAGAAGCCAGGCTGTGTGAAGTTCAGGGCCAGCTTTGGCTCTATGGACCTGTGTAAGCTGATCTGCTTCTATAGGTCTCAGTTCACCAGGTGTGAAACCCAAGGTGGGTGTGAGCTAAATGGGCTAATTCCTGTAGTAACAGTCTGGCGTATTGATGGCCGTGTGCCAGGCACTCTGCTGGGCATGTCACGTTGTTAGTCCTGTCACATGAAAAGCATCTGGGCATGGTCCGTCTGTCACAAGTTCCAGCTGAACCCAGAGCTCCCAAGTTGTAGACAAGCACACTAGCAGAGGTCCCTGTCCTCAGCCTTCTTTTTATTGCAGGCCTCATCACCAGACCCAGCTCTTCAAAAGCAGTGTAGTTTGGGAGGTAATGGGCTTGGGAGGCAGATGGCCCGACTTGTGACCTGGAGTGGGTCATTTCAGTCTGACCTGTGTGTACCGTGTGGAGATAAGGACAGCCCGATAGGCTTGGGAATTCCAGATGCTCTGTGTGACCTGTCTTCTATGACAAAGTTCGGACCAGGAGAAGAGGAGCCTTTCCTTCTATAGACACGTGGGGATCTGTGAAGCAAGTACATCCTCACTCAATTTCTTTTGGCCTCTCTGCTCCTTGCCCCTCTTTTCAGCTAAAGCCGCATATTAATGGACCTTTTACCCCTGACTTGGCTCACCCAGTAGCAGAAGTGGGCACTGTGGCAGAGAAGGAAGGTTGGCCTCTGGACATCAGAGTGGGTGAGTTCCTTCCACCATATCAGGTTAATAGGTGTCTAGGCCAGCAGCTCTGCCCGGAGCTTCCTGGGGCAGGCCCTTTCTGCAGTAGGTCTATGAGTATTCAATATTACCTCTGCTTGGTATGGAAAGAATACATATTTATTGTAGTATAGTGAATATTCACAAGGAGAGTCTTTTTTTTTTAACCAGAAAAAGGTTCTTTGAGAATGTTGCTGTGTTGTCGAGTATATCTTTATATAAGTGTACTTCCGTACAAACACAAACCAGTCAGGAAGCTGTTTGCACGCTTTCCGTGTGCAGATGCGCTGGCATGCTGCTGTTATCTGCACAGCCTGGCTCTGCACTCACAAGGCCTTGGTCTGCATTCTGGCTCTACTTAATAGCTTGTGCTCTCAGCAAGGTTCTTCCTTCCACACAAACCAAAGAGGAAACCAGCTCACTGTCATCAGACGACCATCTGAAGGCGTCACTCTGCAGAAGAGGGGGTGCTCAGAGTTGCCAGAACAGCACTGTTACACTGGGCTCCCAAATAAACATAAAAATCATTGCAGTGTAAACATGCCTATGCCACCTGCTAATACACATTCTCACTTAAGAGAAATTTCAGAAAGCAAGCCTGGTTCATCATCCATAAGCAGGCCCTTTGTATCCCTGGCTATCCTGGAACTGTGCGTATAGACCACAGTGGCCTCAAACTCACAGAGATCCTCCTACCTCTGCCTCCTGAGTGCTGATATTAAAGGCATGCCAGCTGTGACCGATTTAACAAAAAATTTAAAATCTTTTGTTGCTGTCATAAAACAAGCAGGCCAGACAATGGGGGTACATGCCTTTGATCCCAGTGTTGGGGAGGCAGAGGCAAGTGGATCTGGCACTTGCTCTGTAGATCAGGCTGGCCTCGAACTCAGAGATCTGCCTGCCTCTGCCTCCCTAGTGCTGGAATTAAAGGCATGCACAACCAACACCCAACTTTTTTGAATTGGGGTTTCTCTGTATAGTTCTGCTCGCCCTGGAACTCACTCGTAGACCAGGCTGGCCTTGAACTCAAGAGATTCGCCTGCCTCTGTGTCCTCAGTGCTGGGATTAAAAGCAGTTTGCTGCCACACCCCTACTCCATCCCCACTCTGGACCTTTGGGGTTTTATGGATACTTATACTTGTGTATGAAATCGGTATGGAAGTGGATTTACTATTACCTATGTTCATTGTCAGTGAATGTTAGTGACTGGGTTGTGAATACCTTTCTTTATTGTTGATACTTACGTTGCTTCCAACATGTCTACTAGAAATAATCTCTGTGCCAGATCAGTGGGTGAACTCTGTCCAGGTCAGATGGAGACTTCCGGTCACAATCTCCTGATTTTGACTTTACCACCCACAATATACCAGGTTTGATTGGGAGCTGCACCAATTCAAGCTATGAGGACATGGGACGGTCAGCAGCTGTGGCCAAGCAGGCACTGGCCCATGGACTCAAGTGCAAGTCCCAGTTCACCATCACACCAGGCTCTGAGCAGATCCGCGCCACCATTGAGCGGGATGGCTATGTAAGTGTCTGCCCGTGCCTGCCCCTGGCTTCCCGCCATGCATGCCTGCAGATACGTGCTTCGGGACAGGACAAACCATGGCCTGGGCTGAGGCAATGCAGGCACAGCTTTCTGTCTCCAGACTGCTGCCTCACCCCTTGCCTTCAGCATTGTGCCTGGACCTGACAGTTTCTTGTCCGCTTTGTCCTCTGCAGGCACAGATCCTGAGGGAGGTCGGTGGCATTGTTTTGGCCAATGCCTGTGGCCCTTGCATTGGTCAGTGGGACAGGTAAGCAGAGCACCCCTGAGAAGTCAGCCTCTGTCTCCTTGGGTTTAGAGTTCTAGAAGAAATGGTGGGAAGATTCCAGCCCAGGGCCTCTGCTTCCAGGAATTGCTACACGTTAGAATTCCTTGTCAGAGCCGGTGATGGTGACAGACACCTCTAATCCCAGCACTTGGGAAGCACAGGCAGGTGGACCTCAGTGAGTCTGGTATGAAAGTAGATTTGCGAGTTTCAGACAGCCAGGACTGTTACACAGAGAAACTGTCTTGAAAAACAAACAAAAAAGACGTCCTTGTCAGACATACACGGGCACCCAGATTAGAAAGAGCCCTACAGAGGCCCTGAGCAGCCAGAGGCTAAAGCCCTGGCAGGCAGGAGAAGCTGACAAGGCTGCATCCTAGCAGGCAAGCCAGTGGCTGTGATGGAGCTGCCCAGTTGAGGACAGGCCTCAGGCTGGACTGTGCCCCCTTCCTCAGTCTAGATGAAACCCACTGATCTGGAGGTTGTTCCCTGTGCCATGTGTCCCTCAGAGAAAATGATGCTCTCAGGGCCTTGTTCCCCTCCTGTCATGAGCTAGGTAATGCCCCGTAAGAACCCAGACCACATGGCCTCTGAACGCCCCGTGTGACAAGGTTAAATATTTCTAATGCTGTCTCCTCTGTTCTGACAGGAAAGACATCAAGAAGGGGGAGAAGAATACAATCGTCACTTCCTACAACAGGAACTTCACAGGCCGCAATGACGCAAATCCCGAGACCCATGCCTTTGTCACATCCCCAGAGGTGAGACTACATGGCCAGGCAGAGGCTGAAACTACATTGGGGGGCCTGTTCCTGGTGGGTCAGGGGAAAGTTGGGGAGATGGGCTGCTAGGGTTATTATAGACAGTCCCAGATAATATAAAATGACAGTCTCCTGTGAGTCCTTTCCCAGCAGCAATCACTGCTAATGTGAATTACCCAGGGGGAAGCCATGAGCCGTGGCCTGGCATCCATCAAACAGTGCTGACTCGGGTCTCCCTCAGCTCTTGGGCCTCGGCCATTTAGCATGGTTAGTTGATATGAGTATGGACTGTGGCATTTCACTGCCTGAGACACGTCCTTGGTGTCCAAGCTATATGAGCTTGGTCACCTCATGTGATATCCTCCAGGGCCATATAACTTGTATGTGAAGTGCTTGCTTGCAGGTCTCTCCCTACCCTCTACTCCCAATTCCTCTTCTCTTCCTTTTGAGTGACTGTCTCTGGGTCACTTTCTGCATTCCTTAAAAACGTGCCTTTGTTGTTACTCTGGACATTAGGCACTAAGAGAGTGTCCCACCTCAGCTATCACTAGCACAGGGCCAATCTCTTGACTTTACTGAGTGTTCCAGAAGCTCTCATATTGCTAATTGAGGAAATGGTTCTCTGCTTTTCCTTTGCTGCCAAGCAAGAATATTTCCAGCACTAAAGCATTTGTGTACTTGGCCTCCTCGCACGTGTCCAGGACACCTGCAGAAGCCAGGAAAATGCCATAATGCTGGCCTGGCCTGGCCCTAGCAGCCATTGTAGAGGCTGAGTGGCCCTTGTGGGTTCTTGAGTAACTTTGCAGGCCTGGTGGCTCTTGGTCCAAAAGACAGCCCTGCAGCTCTGGCTTCAGAAGAGGGTTCTGGAAGAGGAAGATGGCCCAGTTGATGATGTTCTTGCAGCACAAGTGTGGGGATCTGAGTTTGATTCCCAGCACACACATTAAAATACCCCTGGGTCAGCTGGGCAGTGGTGGCGCACACCTTTAATCCCAGCACTCGGGAGGGCAGAGGCAGGCAGATCTCTGTGAGTTTGAGACCAGCCTGGTCTACAACAGCTAGTTCCAGGACAGCCTCCAAAGCCACAGAGAGCCTGTCCCGAAAAAAAAATTTTTTTAAAAAGAAAAAAGAGCAGCCTGGTCTACAGAGCAAGTTCCAGGACAGCCTCCAAAGCCACAGAGAAACCCTGTCTCGAAAAACCAAAAAAGAAAAAAGAGGGGGGGCCTGGGTAGATAGGTGTGGGTGGCTGATGCTAACTAGCAAACTGGCCTCCTGCATTTCAGATTGTCACAGCCCTAGCCATTGCGGGAAGCCTGAAGTTCAACCCAGAGACCGACTTCTTGACAGGCAAGGACGGCAAGAAGTTCAAGCTGGAGGCTCCGGATGCAGATGAGCTTCCTCGATCAGTAAGCAGATGCTTCTCCCACCATTTTGTATGATCAGCCACCACACACCTGCCTTGGCCTAGCTGCTTGGGCTCATGTGAGGTGTGGTGACACTGAGAACAAGTGAGGTTTGGGGCACAGGGAAGCTTGTGATCTATGGGGATTAAGGACTCAGTGCCCAGTGTGTCTCCATCCCTCCTGTAGGACTTTGACCCAGGGCAGGACACCTACCAGCACCCCCCCAAGGACAGCAGTGGGCAGCGGGTAGACGTGAGCCCTACCAGCCAGCGCCTGCAGCTCTTGGAGCCTTTTGACAAGTGGGACGGCAAAGATCTGGAGGATCTGCAAATCCTCATCAAGGTTGGCACAAGCACTAGGCATAGCTGGGGACCCTCTGAGAACAGGATGGGAAGCTTCAAGGAGGACTCACCGCAGCCTGTGGTTCCCCTTCTCCATGGCTGTGGGCTGGGCAGCTACTGTCTGGCCTCAGCCATCTGGTATGAATGCATCACATGAGTCAGCTCAGGTCTGGATTGGCAAGACTCCCACAGCATTCCTATGGGTCATTACTGGATAGACTGTTGGGAGCTCGGCCTTTCTAGTGTGGTCACGGGCCTCAGACTCGTGTCAGACAATAATTTATGGGCTTACTAAGGGGTGTCCAGGCATGCCTGTGACATAGCCAGTACTTAGGTCATGTGAGCCAGGAACACAGACTTGTCTCCTAGCTTCTAGCATGGAGTCACTCATCTTAGCTGAATAAGCAAACAGCTGCATCTGTCCTCCATGTCTAGCCTGTCCTGTGAGAGAGTATCTGTCATGGAGACAGCGTAGCTGGGGCTTTGGAGGGTGTGAGTGATAGCCTTGCCTTGAAACAGGTGGGCATGAGGAACACCAGGACTCGCTCCATAGACTACAGCTCCAAGGCTAGATATAACCCTCATCTCCCCTCCTTGTGCTGGTCACTGCTGCCTGTCTCTAGGCTTCTCCCTTCCTCCACTCCCCACTGGCCCAACATGGCCTGACCCCTCTGTTCACCCACCCAAGGTCAAAGGGAAGTGCACCACCGACCACATTTCTGCTGCTGGTCCCTGGCTCAAGTTCCGTGGACATCTGGACAACATCTCTAATAACCTGCTCATCGGTGCCATCAACATTGAAAACGGCAAGGCCAACTCCGTGCGCAATGCTGTCACCCAGGAGTTTGGCCCTGTGCCTGACACTGCTCGATACTACAAGGTAGGCCACCACTGTTGGGCATAACCATGTCAGCAGCTGCACTCCTGCAGGCTTGAGGGAAGGGCGGGGCATGCCTAGAGAACATGGCTACCTCGGTACCCAGGAGACCCTGCCCTGGAGTCAGAGATAGGACACAGCAGGTGTGTGGTCCCAGGCCTAAGGAGGTTGAAGGAAACCTTATAAATCGCTGCTGTAGGAATCCAGCTGGAAAGTGCAGCTCAAAGAGCCACAGGTCTCACACAGACCAAGCAGCGAGGGACTGAGCCATGGTCCCACCTGGTTTCGTGTCTCTATGCAGCCTTGGCAGTCCTGGAACTAGCTCTGTGGACAAGGGTGGCCTTGAACTGAGAAATTGTCCTACCTCTTGCCTCATTGGTGCTGGGAGTAAAGGTGTGGGCCAGCACTGCCCCAAACGATCTTTGTGTGATGGGTTTTGCACCATGTGCGTGTCTGGTACCCAGAGGCTAGAAGAGGGTATCATGTCCTCCCTTAGAATTGGAGCTACCATGTGGGAACTGAGACTAGAACCTTGGTCCCTGGAAGAGCCAGAAGCACTCTTTACTGTGGAGCGGTCTCTCCAGCTCTTTCCACTTCTTGAATGGTTGCATGATCTAGGGTACTGGTGAAGGTCATCTGGCACCTCATGGTGGCTAACTGGGACAGTGCACATGGTTAAGGAACTGTAGTCTCCTCAGGCCCATACCATGGACCCAGCACCTAAGTAGCCTTCCGTGCCAGGAAGCCCAATGAGTCTCTTGCTCCCACTGTAGTCATGGTTTCCCCAACCCAGGGCTCCACCCACCTTGCCTCTGCCTGCTCTATGCAGGCTAGCTGCTTTCTTGTCCATTGCAGGTAGACAGGCAGACACAACCTGCCTGCTCCCTTGGGGCCTTCTCTGCCCCAATTCACCTGCTCATGGGCAACAGGGAAGGAATTGCCTCCCCCACGTTGACTCACAAGCCTCACTTTGTTTCCATTACCTGACAGAAACATGGCATCAGATGGGTGGTGATTGGAGACGAAAACTATGGTGAAGGCTCGAGCCGGGAACATGCAGCACTGGAGCCTCGCCACCTTGGGGGCCGGGCCATCATCACTAAGAGCTTTGCCAGGATCCATGGTGAGCTAGAGCCCTAAATGCTACTCCTCACTCAAGGCCCTAGGTCACCTGCTCTGTCAGTTACCAGCTTGGGCCTAGAGTCCATGCTCCCATATTCCACAGAGCCTGGCTCCACCTACCCAGTGCCAGGTTGGCATTGCCCCAGTCTGATGCCCATAGCCTCTCAGCAACACTGGTCTTAGTTCTAAGCTTGTCAGTTGAAATTCAAGGCATGTGGCATCTGCACTGATGCAAACCTGTTTGGAGTGCTGCTGGGGAAAGGAGTCAGTGGGACCCGGCAAACCTCGGCACTATAGTCACTGCCTGTTTATCCCCAGGACTTGTGGGCAGGGGACTTGGTCTATCTCCCAACTGTTTCAGGGGATACTCCTGGGCTAGTAAAGGTCCCTGGGCAGAGGAACCACACTTTTGACTTCATGTATGTCTTCCAGAAACCAATCTAAAGAAGCAGGGCTTGTTGCCCCTCACCTTTGCTGACCCCTCCGACTACAACAAGATCCATCCAGTGGACAAACTGACCATTCAGGGCCTCAAGGACTTTGCCCCGGGCAAGGTTAGGGGGTTAGGAAGGAGGGTGCAGACCAGGGATCTCTTGGGTGGGGTTGGGCAGTCACTCGCTCCTATGTATACACCAAGCTACATTTACAGCTCTGGTGAGTCCATGCTCCAGCTGAAGGAACCAAGTCCTGCCCTGCTGAGGAAACCTAACCCAGGCCTGGCCTCCCCCACTTCCCACCCACACCCGTGTTTCCTTTGCAGCCTCTGAAATGCATCATCAAGCACCCGAACGGGACCCAGGAAACCATCCTCCTGAACCACACCTTCAACGAGACTCAGATCGAATGGTTCCGTGCAGGCAGTGCCCTAAACAGGATGAAGGAGCTGCAGCAATAAGGAAGGCTGGCTGTCGTGTCCCACTGGACCATGCTGGGTGTCAGAAGTACAGGTCCATGTGCAGCCTCAGAGCCAGAGCTGGTCTGTCCAGCATGGCCGCCTGCTCTAAGATGACAACCAGACCTGCTTCCTGCTCTCCCTAGTCTCAGACCACTGAGTGATCCACCGTGGAGGGCACTTGAGATTATGTCCCAGCCCCTGCCTTCCTTTTCAGTTTGGTTCTTCTTCAACAGCCCGTGCACCTGTATTTATTTTTAATGACAGCACTCCCTCTAAAAAAGTTTTCATAATGCCTGATCATTTCACTGGTGGCTGAAGGATTTTAGAGAATCTTTTGTTCTAACAAGAAAAAAAAAATCCAATTGACTGTTCTGTTTGAGAGTGGTTGGTGTCTATTTATCTGCTTGCATTCAAGGAGGATAGTGTGTGTGGGGGAGTGTGGTTGGTTTTTCGAGACAGGGTTTCTCTGTGGCTTTGGAGGCTATCCTGGAACTAGCTCTTGTAGATCAGTCTGGCCTCAAACTCACAGAGATCCTCCTGCCTCTGCCTCCCGAGTGCTGGGATTACGCCAGGGTCAGCAGAGGCCACATCAGGCCTGGGTCACGGCAACAAAGAGGGGATCAGTAACAGAAACCACTTCTCCACCCCCTCCTGCCTGCCCATGCTCCTGCAGTAGGCTAGAGCTTCGTCCTTTGTTCCCTTGAGACTGATGCTCTAGGCCTGGTCTTTAACTACCCTGAGAGTAGGTGCAGCACCTGTCTATCGTGAAGTTGGTGGTGATGGCTGTGGTGGTGGCACATGCCTTTAATCTCAGTACTTGAGAGGCAGAGGCAGGTGGATCTGAGTTCAAGTCCAACCCTGACTACAGAGTAAGATAAAGCAACCGGAAAAGGAATCTCCCAAGCCACACTGTCCCTAGCCTCTGCAGCATAAGGTTATGGTAAAATAGGTCCCTCTTCATTAGGCAGCATCAGGGCATCACCTCATAGCCCCACACGGAAAAACCCAGGCAGGCCACGGACGTTTGTCACAAAACAGTACTTACCAGAAGTATCTCAGTGTCAGTAGGAGAAAGGACAACAGCACTTAAGAGTCATTTGCTAGCCGGGCGTTGATGGCACACGCCTTTAATCCCAGCACTTGGGAGACAGAGGCAGGCGGATCTCTGTGAGTTCGAGGCCAGCCTGGTCTACAGAGTGAGTTCCAGGACAGCCTCCAAAACAATACAGAGAAACCCTGTCTCGAAAAACCAAAAAAAAAAAAGTCATTTGCTGACACCCAGGGTATCACGAACACCACATGGTACTTGTCACAACCTCAGGCTTCTTAGAAGATAGACCTTAGGCCGGGCGTTGGTGGCACACGCCTTTAATCCCAGCACTCGGGAAGCAGAGGCAGGCGGATCTCTGAGTTCGAGACCAGCCTGGACTACCAAGCGAGTTCCAGGACAGCCTCCAAAGCCACAGAGAAACCCTGTCTCGAAAAACAAAAAAACAAAAAAAAAGAAGATAGACCTTAGGACAGCAAATCCCATAGCCTCCATTTCCCAGACAAGGGGCTGGTTTGGCTCATTTGGGGGGGGGGGGGCTACTCCTCCCAAATGCCGGGGAAAGATGGCTGCAGCTTGGTGCTCCAACTGCATCAGCAACTGACAGCACCGGCCTAAGACACCTGCTCAAGTGGCCTCTCTATCTTTGCTGAAGAACTACCAAGCTCAGCTAGAGTCAGTCTGGTCTCATAAATGCCTACACCTGTGGAGCTTGGGATGCTGTCCTAGGTTGGCAATTCAGTGACTTCTGATCATGTCAGCTATTAAAACGGGGAGGGGTGTTTCCTGCTGCTGTCATTATTTATTAAATGTTTCTTCAGTCACTAAGAAAACCAGAAGTTCACAGCAAGGCATAGGATGGGCCTAGCTCAGTAGTACAATACCTGCCTAACATGAAAGAGGCCCTGGGTTCCATTCTCAGCACTGAAGAAAAAACCAGTCCTTGGGCTAGGACGTTTAGAGAGTGCTGGCTAGGTGTGCACAAACCCAGGCTCCAGCCCATCCTCAGTACCACATGAACTCAGTGTGTGGGTGCACACCTGTAATCCCAGCACAAGAGGTAGCAGCTGGAGGATCAGAAACTCAAGGTTATTCTATACTACACAGCAAGGAAGCCAGCCTGGACACGTGAGACTCAAAAAACCAAAGTGATCCAGTGCGGAGGTCTTCAGGGGAACTCCAGAAGGCAGAGAACCAGGGCTGGGAAGGGAGAAGACAAGCGAGCGCACTGCTGGTCCCACCCAGCCTGGCTCTGGGCAGCACTCCTCAGAATTTGCAAACTGCTCCACTGTCGTGGGTCTGGGCAGTCACTGTTAAATTCAGGACTAGTTGCTGGTCCACCAAGATAGAAGGCCCAAGCCTGGCTCACTGATTGATCCCTGTCAAAGAAAAACAGGTATACTTGTCACCACTCAGCTGGGCTGCCTGGGATGGGAGGGCCTAGTAACCCTCCCTATAGGGCCTGGCAGACCCTGTTAGGACAGCTCAGAGGCTGTGGAGAGTGGAAACCATGGTGCCATCCCTGCCCTGGATCTCCAGCTTCTTAGGAAAAGGCCTCAGCTAGGATCAGCTAACTCTTCCTCAACCCCTGCTCTCGTTTCAACTTTGATCTCTCTAGCCCCTCCTTGGTTTCTTCCCTTCCTTTAAAAGATCCTCACAATATAATCCAGTCTAAGCTGTCCCTCTGAGAGGCACAGGACAGACTCCCCCCTAGCCTGCTCAAAATTACATTTTCACCTCACAGCCCGAATCCACTAAAGCTGGCTAAGAAGTGACAGGTGACAATCACAAGAGACCTGACCTGCTAAGGAAGGGGTTCTAGAAGTGAAACCTCAAGAAAACAGCCTTCTTGTGGGGGGCACTCTGGAGGCAGAGGCCAGCTTCGTCTACAGATCAAGTTCCAGGACAGTCAGGGCTATACAGAGAACCCTTTCTAAAAAACTGAAAAAGGAGCCTCCCACCATCTTACCACAAGCGTGTACGGCGCTTCCTTCTTTGGCAGCTCCTCGCTGGAAGAGGCAGCCTCGGCTGAGCTGGGTCCAGTGGGGGACGTGTCCACAAAGCTCTCATCCACTACCCTGAAGCGGATTTCCTCGCCAGTGTCCATGTACAGGTCATGTGCTCCCTCCTCCGTCTCGTACTCCCACACCCAGACTTGCTCTGTCTCGTCACTGGAGACCAGGGTCAAGGCCACACTCATGCTACAGGAGTTCCTGAGGCTGGGGGTCCTCTTAAGTACTTACCCAAGTTGAAACCAATCCCAGGTTGAGCCTATTTTGTCGGGGAAGTCCCAGTAAAAGCTGCTCCTTCCCCCTGGAAGAGAACTAGTTTGTACCAGGACCCAAAGTGAGAACATTCCCAAGTCTGGAAATTTGAATGAACAGGGACTACATCTCATTCAAGCCTCGTAACTAATGTGACAGGCAGGTAGATCATAGGCTTGCCCTGGTCTCCAGAATTTAAGGCAGGTTTGACGGTCACCCACCTGAGGAACATAAGGCTAGACCAGATTTGCTGACAAGTCAGGGTCTTATGTAAACCCTACCTCTGCCCACACGGGCCTGGGCGCAAGCAGAGACTGAGCTCTGCCCTTCCCCTATAGCCTACAGACACACTGCCCTCTAGTGGCACACTGCGTTCTCTGTGTCGTACAGCTGGGATTATAGTTATGACAGGCCACCTGAGCGCCTCTCCCAAGACCAGTGACAGTCCCATTAAAACAGCCCCAGGCAGGTGATGGTGGCACACACCTTTAATGCCAGCACCTCAGAGGCAAAAGCAGGTTGATCTCTATGAGTTCAAGGCCAGCCTGGTCTACAAAGTGAGTTCCAGGACAGTCTAGGCTACACAAAGACCCTGTCTCAAAAAAACAAAACAAAAAGAAAAACAACCTGTCCTGAATTTGGGAAGAGGACAGGGGCTCTGCACTTCAGCCCAGGCTGGACACCAGTCCCACCCCCTGGAAAACAGGGAGGCAGCCCTGGGAGAAGGATCTGAAATGACTCCTGCGGGGACAACATGCATGAAGTGACCATGAGTGACTGGAGCCCCAAAGGTGTGTAGTGCTCAATTATATCACCCCACCTGACAGACACAGGCATGGGGACACCACGGTCAGAGGGGGAAGCAGAGGGGACCTGGTACCTCACACCAGCCCTGGCAGTAGTGACAGATCAGAGTCCCCGGGTCAGCACAGGAGCGGGGGGGGGTCCACTTGTCCCACATTAACCTTGAGGATACAACTTGGCAGGCTGCTGCAGTGACTCAGGAGGGATGAGAATGTCATCAAAGAACCCTAAAGAGACTGGAAGAAATGAAGAACATGACGCCCAGAAGAGATGGCTGGACACTGCAAGCAAGCCCATGTAGGCCAGGTGTCCCGGGGCAATCTGACTATACTACCAACATGTGCTGAGCAGCCCTGGGCAAAGCTCCAAGTACCTAGTCCCCAGCCCAGAGTGCTCACTGCAGGCACTGTGAGCCTGTCTCCTCCACCAGCTCAGTACCCATCTCAGATCCTAAGCTGTGTGTGTCCTTAGAGTGGCAGCTGAATGCATGAGGGGATGGGCACTCCTCGCCTGGCACTCTAGCTGGGCAGTTTCCCTGATGCCATAGGGAAGATTCGACTAGATGTACGGCCCACCCCAGAAGTAACCCCTTACCATGCACACCCTCTGGGCTGCAGCCTTTGATCTTCCCGATGAGAATCTCATCCAGGAACGGGTGAAACACCACATATCGGAAATGGACTGGAAAAGAAGGGAATACTGTTGTCATCTACACCAGATCCTCCATGACAGCTGATCATGTTCGCCAGTGTCCACCTCACTGTCCGTACACTTACCCAATAGTTCACGCCAAGTCCGCCTGCAGGGCCGGATCTGACTGCCAAGCCAGAGAACCCACCCTCCCTCATTTCTGCAAGTCACAGCTTGGTCTCCAAAGGGACCGGCAGCAGCTGCTGCCCTAGACTAAGGCAGGTTTCCAAATCATCTCCATCACACCCGAGCCTCGATTCTGGGCCACTGGTGACTCCAAAGCCAATTCCAAACTCCCTCCAGGCTGTCCTTTATATTCCAAAAGGACAGCAGCAACTGGTCAGACTTGGAAGGAAGTCTCTGTCTCTTGATGCCCTCAGCAGAAGTCACACCTGTCACTGACCCTCTAAAACAGGAAGGTGCCCTCTGCCATTAGCCAATTGCCTGTATGAATCGCCTGTGCCAGATGCCATGTTCCTACCAAACAGAGGAAAAGGCAGCACAGGTTTCTACCAGGGCTCCTGCAGTGTCCGCCCTTGCCCAGCTCTGTCTACCTGCCTTCCTACATGCTACCCCATGAAGTGACAAACATCCTAAAGATGACTGAGTCTTCTGCTAACTTTCCAGAATGGAGCCAGGAGCAGACATGGGCCACCTACCCACGGATGGAAAAACACTGCCATCCACATGGCCTAGCATTCAGTTCAAAGCTTCTGCAAGGCTTCTTTTGGCACAGGCCTAGCAGGCAGGACAGAAAGCGTGTAAGCCAATGCCCAGGGCCTGAACACCGTATCTAAAACCAAGTGGTGAGCAGCCCATCTCCAATGGCTAATGAATGAACAAAAGCTCAGTGTACACACACAATACAACATTAATCAGCCTCGAAAAGGAAGGCTGAAGCTGTACATGGTGGCATACACCTTCAATCCCAGCACCCTGGAAGCAGATCTCTGTGCCTTCAAGAACAGCATCGGCCGGGCGTTGGTGGCGCACGCCTTTAATCCCAGCACTCGGGAGGCAGAGGCAGGCGGATCTCTGTGAGTTCGAGGCCAGCCTGGTCTACAAAGTGAGTTCCAGGACAGCCTCCAAAGCTACAGAGAAACCCTGTCTCAAAAAACCAAAAAAAAAAAAAAAAAAAAAAAAAAAAGAACAGCATCGTATACAGGGTGAGTTCCAAGAAGATCAGGGCTATGCGGAGAAACCCTGTCTTAAAAATCAACCACCAAGGGCTACAAGACGTGGCACAGGGCTGGAGAGATGGCTCAGTGGTTAAGAGCACTGACTGCTCTTCCAGAGGACCCGGGTTCAATTCCCAGCACCCACATGGCAGCTCACACCTGTCTGTTACTTCAGTTCCAGGAGACCTGGCACCTTCACACCATACACATAAAATAGTTGAGTAAATTAAAAACAAAAACAAACAAACAAGCAAGCATGCGCCATAGTGGTTGGCACACCTAAGAGGCGTGAAGCTCTGGGTCTCCACCCTCAGGACTGGGCTCCATTCCCCACCCCGCCCTGGCACGAGCATGCGGGGTAAGTAGGAGGGGTGGGAGGGTGATCACTTGTTCTTAATTAGCAGGCTGTGTATTCCACAACCCTTGGAAAAGAACAAATCCCTACTCCATTCACGAGGCACTGAAGTGGTCAGGTTCTCCAAAATGGCTCAGTGGACCAAGGGGTTTGCCACCAAGTCTGACCACTGGAGTTTGATCACCAGGACCCAAACGCTGAAAGGAGAGAACAGGCTCTAACCAGCTGTCCTTCTGACCTCAACCTGCATGCAGCAGAGGGGAAGTGTGGCATGGCCAGATGCTCTTACTGTGCTCACGGCCCTCAAAGGACGTCCTGCTGTATGACAAGTAAACTTAGCTACCCAGGCCCCCACGCCAGGGGCCAGAGCCAGAACTGAAACAGATCTGTGGGATGTACTTAACCCAGTGCTCAGTACTTACACATCTGCACAATGAAACAAGAGACCCAGGGTAAGCAGGGTATGGGGGACAAGACTGGAGACCAAGTGCCAAATAGCACCAGTGTAACAGGCAGCATTTCCTTAAAGCTCATTTGTTTCGGGCTCTTGTCCAAGAACACAGTTCGGCTCAGTTCAGCAGCGTACTCTGAGAACAGAGGCCCTGCCCCGTCCAAGTGCGGAGCCCAGCTCAGCTTGGCACTCCTCTCTGAGAACAGAGCTCCTCATAGCTGTTTCCAGGCTCTGGGCTTGCTCGTGAAAACACATAGTCCACACAAAGACAACCTGCTTCCTGGGGCTCTCTGCAGAGCTCAACACCATGTCAATTAATTAGTCTCAGGAAGCCAGCACAGACCCCAGGCTGTCTCCCCATACTCCAGAATGCTCGATCACCCATCCCTGGGCCAAGAGGCCAACCCACATGGGCAAAGACAAGGTCTCC